CTGAGAGGTATTTACTTCATTTTCTGTATTTTTCGTACATTTCGCACCTTTGCCATGCTTGAACACGCAGTTTAGCTTATGACATAGTACTTTGCTTGCATCCTGAACACGTAGTTTAAACATTTGAATTTCTGAACACTTGGCTCATTAATTAATTGCCAACGCACGGTACACATTAGTTTAGAGGTGAACACACGGCTCAAACACTGATTTGTCGAATCACACAGCCCGAATTTGAAAGTGGACACACAGCCCACACTTATTAGGAGTAGAACACACAGCCCCAAACTCCGAATTTTCTGAACACGCAGCCCAGATTGATAGTGAACACGCAGCCCACACTTTTTGAAAGTTGAACACGCAGCCCAAACTTCAAATTTTTTTAACACGCAGCCCAGATTAAATAGTGAACATGCAGCCCGCACTGATTGAAAGTTGAACACGCAGCCCAAACTTCAAATTTTCTGAACACGCCGCCCAGATTAAATAGTGAACACGCAGCCCACACTGATTGAAAGTTGAACACGGAGCCCAAACTTCAAATTTTCTGAACACGCAGCCCAGATTAAATAGTGAACACGCAGCCCACACTTTAAATTTTCTGACAGCTTATACATCACACTTTGAACACATAGCTCACGCATTCCATTGGCACACAGCCCATTCATTTCATTGGCACACAGCTCATTCATTTTTATACTGAGACATGTATTTATTTTGAACGCAGGTTGGTTCTCGCGGTGTACGGGGATATGGCTCCACCGCCGCGAGGGACTGGTACGTTGAGCTTCCGGGGGCCGTCCGGGATTTAGTGGACTTGGCAGGATTCGGGACCTTCTGCGCTGGATTATCACGTTGTCCTGCCAGGAGGGCACTGATGGCAGCCTTGGTAGAGAGATGGTGGGACACCACCAACTCCTTTCATTTCTCTGCCACTGGAGACATGACCATGACGCCTCTGGACTTTGCTGTGCTGACCGGCCTGGACACAGGAGGTTGGTCCATCCCTTATGATGAGGACATGGGCGAGTGGGAGGCCGCTTGGATGTATCTATTGGGGGCTCGCCCGCCTGTTGACAGGGTTTCTGGGAGAGTCCGATACACTTGGTACCCACTTTCGGCGGGCGGAGATGGTGCCGGAGACTCCTGAGGAGACGGAGCAGTACGCCCGTGGTTTCCTTATGTTCCTCTTCGGGACTACCCTATTCGCCGATAGAGGGAACACAGTCGGGTTATATCTGCTGAGCGCTCTGGTTAACCTATCACAGGTCAGTAGATATGACTGGGGTGGCGCCGGCCTGGCTACCCTTTATTGCTATATGAGCGCGACATCCCGCGTGCAGGGAGATTTACTTGGCGGCTACTGGAGAGCCTGGGAGGTATTTTCTGTCCCCTTGATTTACATTTCTGCTCCTCATTACTTGTCCATTGCACACACGGCGCGCTTTGCAGCCTGTATTTTGCCCTCAGCATTTTGTATTTATATTCTGCACTGCTTTTCTCAGTTATGGGTATACGTATACTTCCCGACATTAGGCCCAGAGTTGGAGGTGGCAGGGCCTCCCATGACCCCATATTCATTGGTATTCGAGGGCCCGCACCGGCCGAGACGCCGAGAGTCTCTCCTTTACTTGCGACAGTATTTTGACACTGTGCGACAGTCGGAGGTACTTCAGAACTTTCAGTTCCTTTCATTTTCATCTTTGATTTGCTCTGTATATTCCCAATTTCTGATTGGTTTAAGCATTTATCATCCGCAGATCACATGGCAGCCCTGGGCGCCCCTAGGTGATGGTCTCCGATTTCAGTATACCGGAGGATCGGGCACTTCCCAGTACAGGGTTCTGCTCGAAGGACCAGTTGGCAGGGCATGGTTTCTGGGGGAACGCTTTCTGCGTTAGGTATGGGGGTATCTTTCTCAGGACCCTCCCGCAGTACCCCCAGTCAGTATGCGGACTGTTGACAGGCTCTCTTTCTCGGAGGTAGTCGGCGCTATGCTGGGTAGCGATGCTTTACTATATCTCGAGGAGGGGGATTACGGCACTTATCGTCATACATATTTGATGCCTCCATTGACGGGAGCTCGTACCCTGATGACGAGGCCTGCTGGTATGTCATCCTCGGCCAGGCCCGGGCTCGGGCTGCAGACGCTCCTTCCACCAGCGGGGCTGGTACATCTAGAGGTGGGGGTAGACCGGTTCCTCCTAATCCGCCGACTTATCCTCATCCTGGATGGCCAGATATGCCAACTGAGTTGATGGCGTGGCAGTATGGGGCTATCTCTCCGACTCCGATCCCGCTAGAGCCTTCGATGCCCAGTGATCGATACGCCATTGATCTTGACTCACCGCTGGTATGCTCCACTGTTTTTCATTCATCATTCAGACGTTTAGACATTCTTTCATTCACTGATGATTATGGGCTCATATTTGCAGCCACCGCGAGGGTACATGGAGGAGGTGGTTGGACTGGTGGCCACACTCGAGGGCATGGTCCTGCGGAGGGAGGCACAGTTGTCTATCGCGGGCATTCAGGTACCCTGCAATTTTCTGGCATTTATCATACTTCTGATGACATGCTGATTTCTACTGCATCAATAGACTACTTGTGTAGAGCACATCTGACACACACCCCACTTGTACACTGTATTTACATGCACCCACTTCACGTAGCCTTTGCTTGTATCTGCATCTGATGTATATATT